TTTTATGTGTTAGTTCTCACACAAGCAGAGACATGTCATCACAAGAAAACTATGTTAGCATGTAAGGAGGAGGGCTTGAGTACCTGACTATATATATTAGCTGGGTGGGAGGGCAGGTTTATGGGTTACCAGTGGTGAAAAATTAAATTAGACTGTGAAACTGGAGCCAGGCCTTGCTTGTCCTGCTAAAGTATTTGGATTTAATTTTAAAGGTAAGATTTTGCATATAATAAGTTCTTAGTCAATATTAATTGAATGAATGAAAAATTCCGAGTGTCATCATCACATTTGTTTTGCAAATGGTGGTTGAATGGAGAGAAACTGGTGAATTCGAAAGATATTTAGGAGGTAAGTTTACAGGAGTTGTTGACCAAGTAGATGTTGGGGAGAGAGAAGGGGAGAGGGGGAGTAGAGGGTGATGGAAATGCTGGTCTGTGAAGGGAAATATGGCAATCCAAGACAACTTTTGAAAGGAAGAAGATTAGTTCTTCTAGTGATATGTAAGGAACAGCAGGTAGGTTCTGTTGAACACCATTTTCCTAGATTTTCCCAGGAAGAGAAATTGCCCAGAGACCGGGGAAAAAGTTTTGTTTTCTATTTTACACATTATTTCTGGGCTCATCCTGACTATCTGTGGACCTAGTGGAGTGGGGGCTCAATATGCATGAATTGACACTTTTAATTTTGTGTGTGAGGAAAGAAGGAGGTGGGTTTGTTGGGAGAGGCAGGAGAGAGTTGAGAGATATGGGGAATGAAGACATCTAGTTTCCTTTGGTGTGAGGGTTAGAGACAGAACCTGAAGTGGATGTCATAGGAATTCAGGGAAGAATTGAGGGATTGCAGAGCTATTAAGTTGCCTGAAGGCTTTGGGATGCAGCAAGAGGCAGAGTCTGGGTAGGTCAGTAAATTGGTAAGAAAAGTTTAGTGGTAGTAGCCACACTCTGAGTTTGCTGGTGAAAGCAAATGCTTAGTAGACAGCCAATAGCAAAGCAGCAGCACCAAGGAAAAGAGGTGAGAATTCCGGAGTAATCGATATAACTCTGGGGACTGGTACAAGGATCTTAGGGTTACTGAATTCTGCAGTTAGCAGTTGGGGGATCCCTAAGAGGCATAATTCTGGTGTTACTGCTAATGTGACCTCATTTGAAAGTTCTCATACAAAACACAAAACATTAAGGAGATTAAAACACACACACACACATACACATGCACATACACAAACACAAGAGGCACCAGTCATATATAACATACTGATTGCAGAGATGAAGTAATGGCCAAGGACTTGTTGACCTAATGGACTTCTTGACCTCCCTCAACAACTCTCTTCTCATCTCCATAAACACATGCAAGTCAGGCACCGGACCACTGGATGAGCCTGAGTCTTGGGCAGAATATAGCTCAAATGCATCCTTATTCTATGCGTCATAGTTCTGACAACCGGACTTGTTTTTATAACCAAATACCACCTTGTTCTATATTTTTTTAAGAGACTGGAGTCTGACTTCAAGATCACAGTTTCTGTGATTGGGTTCCCACTGCCTACCACCAAAGTCCCCAATGCTGACCAGCTTCTGACTCACACTTGTGTTAGTCAATACTTGGTTTACAACTTCTCTAGTCTCCTCTTCTTCTGAGAACACGCGAGATTGTATTTCCCTACTCCTTTTGGCCAATGAAATGTGAATATAAGTGATATCTGTCATTTTAAGAGTTGATGGGCAATATGTCACTTTTTGCGGGGTTGGGGATTGATCATGGAAGGATGTGTCAAGACAGAACCTCATAAGTCCCTGGGTTTCTGAGTGACTACCATAAGTAAAGTCCTTGTTAACTTTCACTGGATATGCAGTATGAGTGACACTGTTTTAAGACGCTGACATCTTAGAATTTTTATTGTAGCATAACCTAACCTATCCTGATCAATAAGTCTTCTACTTGGTGTCTGTGTTCCATCACCTGTCCTGTAGTTTTTCTACAGTCTTCTATTCTAACTTCCTTCCCAGAGGCTCCCTTCATGAGCCTCTCTAATCTTTGTGTACCAACCAATCCATTATTTGATCTGTCTTATCTGTCTTAATAAGCTCCAATACTACAGAAGAAGGGAAGTGAGATGCCTGCTGAATTTCTCCTCCTCTGGTGTTTTAAATAAGGTATAGCTGCCTGCTAAAGGCATGAATAAAGACCAAAGTAATACAGAGATCAGTGGAAAGTAAACCAACAACCTGTGACCTTGAGTTTAGTCATTTCTACATCTTTGTTTGAAGAAATATCACCATGATCTTCTTCAGCATTTGACTATTATCTAAAATTCAATGACATATAAAGAATAGCTCAAGTAGCTTCTTAAGGTTAGACAAGTTTGAGAGCTGTTATATATTGATAATGAAATGAGTGTACTTTAATCTGAATGAGGATTTTCAGGCTGCATTTCCTCAAGTAACTTGCCATCCAGGCCTGTGTTACCAAGTTATGTGGGTGAACCCAGTCATCTGTTGGAAAATGTTCAACGACCAGCTCCCTGGGAGGGGAAAAAAAGCCCTGATTTACTAAAACATTTTCCTTTTCCATGGTGTGTATATTCCTACTATGGCTGATTTCAACCTACCTATGGGATGCTCTGAATTCAAAGTTGGGAAGAGATGCACAGTAGCAAATCATAGAGCATATCGATGACACAGATACAATAGATATAAATAAACTCAAAAGGTTGGATAATAAAATATAGCAAAATAATTGAGAAGTGACACATTTTGAGTAATTATACCCTGTGTCTTAATATATTTACTTGTAAGATTATATATTTAATATTGGCTATATTTGGCAACCAAATTGCAAAACTCCTGAAAATTTAGCAACTGGCTCTCGTGAGCTGGAAGAGCAGGCTCCAGCACATCACTAGACAGAGGATGCCTTTTAAATGATAGTTTATGAAGGGTGCTCAGCACAGGTGTTAATGTCTTTCTTGGTATTACTATCAAGGTCTCATCTGGCATAGGCAACCCTGGACTATAGGAGCCAGGAGCCAGGACTTCTAATTCTTCTGTGCCATTTACTTGCTGCATAACTCTGAGAAAGTTTAATGTCAATGAGCCTAAATTTCCAATTAGTAAGACCTATGTTAGCAATTTACCTTTTTGGGGAGGTTTTTAT